TCCTCAGCAGAAAGAACGTCTTACTGCAGAGCTACACGACAGAAAGGGGAGGACAGAGAGTTAACGGCTTATAAATAGACAGAGACAAACAGAGAAGCGTTACATTTTTATAAAAGTACTTGACAACATTTAAAGTACTTTCAGTTGTGTACGACAAATGTGAAGATACAGCCTGCAACTGGTTAGCTTGTAAAAATAGGTTAGCAAAGCTTTGTCCATCCATTTGATATCAGCTTATCAGCGGTCGGATCACTGGAACGCATCAATAATCTCTCCAGCTTGGTCGACCCCTGGGCCCACCAATGAGAAGCCCCCAGGAGGCACCTTGATGAACTGGGCCCTTACAAAAAGGGACGGCAAGCGGCATTACTCTCAGCTCGCTAGTGAGCTGCTCACAATTTATATTAAAAAGGGTCTGTATTATTTTAACTGTGCACCACAAGCTACATGTTGTTATGTAGAGCCCCTCCCTTTTCAAATGTATCTCCAAGTCTAAGCTCAGCCACCCAACGTACATTTAAGCCGCTTGTATTCAATATATTATTCTTTAGGTCAATGCCCAGAGAGGTCATTCATCTATGACTGTCATCTCCAATGTACCACTACTCATGAAAAAGACTCAGGGGGTGTTTCTCAATGTCAAGCATACTACGTCATAGAGTACTGTTCCAATGTCCAGCATACTTGGAATTCTACCGAGCCCGGCGTACTTCGTTTGGAGAAATTTCGAGGCTGCACATCTGTAGACGCCGCGGTCTTAAAATCCCCACAATGCTTTGCGCACAGACCAATTTCCCCAAATCTGTGGCGGAAAATTAAGGCGGGGCTTCTCATGTGACGCACACCTGCTAGCCTGTTCCACTCTTTGTTTTCCGAACGCCAGGAAGTATTCTCGCCTCGCTTCTGAAGCAAGATGCTCGGCAGACATGTGCTACCGAGCAAGCGTACTCGAGATTGAGAAACACCCAGAGGTTCTTGAACTCCCTGGCCCCGTCTCAGGTCGGTTAAATGAAATCCTTGCTTCCCTCACTTGCGTCGTTTCCCTGCGTCTAGTCCCTCCCACCAGGGAAGCATGGAGGGACGCAAGGAAACCACGAGAAGCAGGGAAATGAGTTTTAAGAGCAATGGGACGTCCTTTCCTCCGGAGCGTCACGTGAAGCGACGTCCGTTTGTGATGACGCTGCACAGCTGATCGTCTGACAGCAGCTCTGTCCCCGTTGTTTTCACAAACACCCCCCCCACACATTTACTGACACAAACATGTGTATCATCTGTATAGACCCCAATAAATAAAATAAAATCAGAACTCATTCTCAAAAAAGATAAACGCCATTCTTAAAATGTATAAACGAACAAGTTTGATTAATATAGATTAGAGTGCACAATAGAAATAAAATAATTCAGAGAAGAAAAAGAGATCTGTTATCTATCAAAACCCAGATAGATTAACATTCATTGGATTGTACACTTTGTGTGTTTGTGTGGATATGTAGCACATTAACTCTGCTTAGACAATAAGCAGAGTTGTGCAGCTCTATTTGTTGACCTTTCCAAAGCGTTTGATACCGTCGATCATCGCATCTTAAAGCAGAGGCTACTCAGTATCGGCATATCCAGCCATGCAGTGGGTGGTTTGTGAACTACCTCTCTGAAAGGTCCCAATGTGTTCACTTTGATGGGCTGTCTTCTGAGTGGTTAAACATTGCTAATGGTGTTCCTCAAGGTTCTGTTTTAGGTCCACTTTTATTCTCCATATATATATCAACAGTTTAGGTGAAAATGTGGATGAAGCTACTTTTCATTTTTATGTCACTGTGACCTTTTTACCTGTGCTGGACTATGGTGATTTGATCTATATGAATGCACCTGCCCATTGGCTGGAAAAGTTAGATGCCGCGTATCACAGTGCCCTGAGATTTGTTACTAACTATAAAGCACTTCCTCATCACTGTACCCTGTATGCCAAGGCAGGTCTGCCTTCACTAACTGTACGGAGGCTCAGTCACTGGAACATGTTCATTTACAAAGCCATGTTGGGTAAACTACCTTTTTATATCTGCTCTCTGATCTCTCGACGAATTGAAAGTACATATTGCCTGAGATCTCATGATGTTGTTTTATTAAATGTGCCAAGTGCTAGGACTGTCTTAGGGAAGAAAGCTTTTAGTTGTGTAGCTCCACTAAATTGGAACAGTCTGCAAACATGTTTAAAACTGAGCACTTTGGTTCCCCTGCATCATTTTAAAACTCAGCTGGGTGACATGCTGTTTGATACTCATGGTACCTGTCTCTCTAAATAGTTTGTAAACTGTACATTATGTTGTATGTCATCCTTATTGTTGTTCTGTTGTTTGTATGTTACATGTGTAACTAATGTCCTGCAGGTCACCCTTGAAAAAGAGATCTTTTGATCTCAAGGGGCTTCACCTGGTTAAATAAAGGCTACAAACATTAACGTTTTAATAGCACTTAATGACTGACTGAATGGAAATGACAATAAATGAAAATGTAAAACGAAAAAAGTGATCATGAAAATGTTTCCAAAAAATGAATAAAATGATTTTTGACCACTTTGTTGTTCAGATATATCACATATGTGTAACTAAATGAAACAGGAATTGAAACAAAACACGGTATAAACTGAGGAGTGACTCTCGTGAGTTTCATGTATTTTCTTCACTCTGCTGGGAAACTGCTCTCATGTCAAGAAGCATCAGATCAGTGCATGCGCTGCCTCGTCCAATCAGTGAGCGATACACAGTAAGGGGGCGGGGCGAGTGTCTGAGGATTTCATCGGAGGATGGTCTGGTGGTTCCTCGGTTATAGCTCCTCCATTATCGCTCCTCCGGCAGAAATAAGAGCCATGGGACGGTACTCAAGATGGCGCAGACAAATCAACTTCCGGTGAGACCGAGGACCGAGGAGCGAGGAAATGAAAATAGTCGACCTGAGACCGGGCCCCTCACTTAAAGCAGTATATCACTCCTTATTCTGTCAAAAGTAAAAGAATACTAGAACATCCAAAGTAATGTGTTGTTGGCCTCATCTATACAAAGGAGGAAGTCCGACTTCCAGGACCTTTGTCTGACAAGTATCAAATGGAATTACTAAAGCAAAGAAAAAGCGTTTCATTATTGTAAACAGGTACATTATCCAGGTAAATGTACTTTAACAAAAAACTCTGCACTTCAAACCAATGCACAATGGGAACACCCAGCTCACACCGACACACCTGTCATATTTGAATCTCACAGTATGATTAGCTTTGACTCTAAATCACAAGGTTTAAGGTTTCTGGGCGGGAATGAAACCTGCAGGGTTCTGGTGCTCGGGGTCAAGACTTTGATGCATCGTGTGGTACGAGTCAGTGCTTACCAGACATGGCCAGTGCTTGCCCTCGATGTGTCTGAGGCGATGCATGATCAGAGCGTCACAGCTCTTGTAGGAGGTGGAGCACTGCGGACAGGCGTGGGGCGCCTTGAGGCCTTTGGGGACCTGACTACGTGGCCCTCGAAGCTGCTTTAGCCTGGCCCGACACACAGCGTCCATCCTGACGCAACTCCTGCTGCTCCGAGGGCGTTTCACCTGCTGCTGGAGATGCAGGAAGAAGACGGGGAAAGTCAAATATTATATTAAAAAAGATGAAATAAACATCATGAATGAAAATGTAAAGGTTTAGATAAGAGTAAGCAATCACAAGCGCACGTTTGGGCTGTACTTCACTTAATACATTTGTATTCGTCTGACACTCTTAGGATTTTGTTAACTAATCAGTAACGTCATTTAAATCAACAGATCAGTAACGTTTCTCAAAAAGGAATATTACAAAAGCTCCACTTTAAAACTTGTGTTTTGCCAGAGATGTGATGTAAATAAGCGCATCATTAAAAAAGGCAATAAGGTGACTAACTGTTCAACAGATATTAGATTACTTTGTGGCAACAGGATGAAGGGGACATGGCTGAATGCATTCCTGTACTGCCCTTTTACTGTGTTTATGGTCACAGAAAACATGAGCTACTAACACAATGTGTACTCTCTTTGATCTACCTTTGACTTGGTCCGTGTGGCCTTCAACTCGGCACATTTAGCCAGTTGAGGATTGATGCTGCGGGCGTTCGGCCGGGGTCTCTGAGCCTTGCCTTGGCTCACGCTCCTCTCCACCCTCTCCTTCTTTACCACAGGCGGGGCGGGGGGTCTGGCTCTCAGCGACCTGTGGGGGGATTCCACCGCTCCAAATCCTTCCCCAACTTGTGACACAGAGCGCGTCAAGCAGATGTCCACGCTCTCCTCCTCTTTCTTCAGTATTGCCATCGGGCCCCCTGCTGGCCGACAGAAGCTGAACAAAAAGCCCGAGTCCAGTAGCTTGATGGGGGGCTTGCTCTGGCGCTTGCCCAGGTCCGGTGAGGGGGGATCGGGGAAGGCTCCTCCGACGGGCATGGGGTCTGCCGGCTCCTCTTTGATGACTTTGTACAGAGGGTGGTTGTAGATGGATGCGGGAGGAGGCTGGTCTGAACACTTGAGCCCCTCGGGTTCATTGACCTTCACTCTCGGTTTAGTGTCCATGACCTTCCTCCCCTCCTCTCTGGGCTTACACTTTGTCTTACCCACCTCCCTTGTGGAGGCCTGCTTAAGCTTAGCCTTTGTTGCAGGTCGGCTGCTGTTGCAACGCAGCGTTCTCTCTGCAGTGACTTTATGTTGGGCCTGTGTCCTGTGTGAGGGTGGAAACGTGTGGGCTGTGTGGTCGTGGGGGTTGTTTGATAAAAGAGGGAAACCTGAGAGAGAGTATTCAGTTGGTTCTGACTTAATCCTCACCGTGTTTTTCACTTTAGTTTTGATGGCGTAGCCTCTCAGATGCTGCTGGGCAGTGTCACCCCTCCTCACCGAGCGCCTGAGTTCCCTCCCCATGAAGGGAGGCCTTGATGCAGGGCGGAACATGTCTGGTATTGTACCTTTACTTCTCATGCTCCTGTCACTCGGAGGGATGGTCTTTGGCCTCTTCTGCACGGTGATGATTGGACCCAAAGGCTTGGTCTTTGCTGACCTGCTAAGAAGATGAGTGTTAACAGGGTTACAGAGGGGCAGCGACAGCGTCACAGCCCCAAATGGCAGTCCTGGGGAGGCAGGGCGTGGTTTCCTACGCTTTGTCAGCGAATAGTTGTTAGCCTTCAGCTTTCTTAATCGTTTCTTCTGCCTCCAGCCAATCAGATCTTCTGGTCTTGGGAGGAGGGCGGTCCTCTGTAACCCGAGAACATTCATCAGATGGTACTTCTCCTGTGCTCTTGCATAATCCTGTTCATCCTCTCCAACCTCCTCCACTTCCTGCTTTATCCTCACAGGGCTGCACACAGTGACCTTTGAAGCCCTTGACATCGAGGTGCGGGAATGCTGTTTGGGAGAGGGAGATTTTTTTGTTTTTTCGAGGGCTCTCTGGCATGGGTAGCAATCTCTGAACCTTTTTGGCAGCCCCAGGAGTGGAGCGGAGAAGACGGGTGTTTGATGGTGATATGCGCGAGTAATTCTGCGACTGTGGGGTGGATGTAGTGTGTCGAGGGGTGGCAGCTTTCTTGGAAGAGGGAGATTTGAAGTCCATGAGCTTCATCCTGTGTGAGGGGCTCAGAGGGAGACCATTATGGCATTGGGCTTTTGGTGTCCTGCGCAAATTGTGCCTTGGACTTTCTTCTAATGACCCATTTGATGAATCCAGCCTCAGACTGAAGCAGTTGTTCATACTGTCCTCGAAATCCGAAACCCTTTTCCTTTTGCCTACCCTCTGCTGGCGGTGATGCTCATGACAGGCGCCGGCACAGGCACAAGCTGAGGTAAAGTCCTTGCCGGGATGGAGTTTTTGGTCTTGCTCTCTCATGAGGGCCGAGCAGGCTTCCACAGCAGGCCACATGCCCAGGTGGCGGGCCATGGCGATAACTTCAGGAAGGTCCTCCGGGCGGACAGACAGAGTGGAGGAGTAGGAGAAATCCAGCAGAGACAGGAGGCTGTCCTCACTGAAGCCTGAAAGGAGATGGGAGCCTTTAATTACATACTGGTCAGTCAGTGAGCAAGATGAAAGTGAGTAAACAGCAGGCAGAGTGGGAGCAAAGTGTAAACATGATGGTAAAGACCATATAACCAGCACTTTAATTAGGGCCATTTCTGCTTTTATGACATGCATCAAAGATGCGTCAATGAGGAGACAGACTAGGGCTGTGTCCCAATTCAAATTCTGGATCGTTCAACTTCAAATGTCTAGATCAAATAGGTTTTTAAAAACTGCCAAGGCAGACCCTTTCGAAAAGGACTTTTTAATGCAGCTTTCAGTAGCATACTAACTATCAACTACTATTTAAAATCATCTAATTCATCTTTTCTCTTTTCAACATTTACTGGTACCAGCTTGTAGATTGGAAGATTTATACTTTGTCATAAAGGATAGTTAAATATCTATGTGAAAAAATAATGGGCACTAGACATTGACTTGACATTTAACAGCGAAAATAATCAAGTGGTGAAGTCAAATAGTTTTTTGTAGGTACACTGGTGATGAGCTTAAACAAAAGACTAATGACTGAATGAGTTAAAGTGGAACTGTTTCGTTCAGAATAAAAGCATTTTGGGGACATAGAGGTACAAGGTTCAGGCTCAGTCAGCTCTAATCGACCAACTAAACTTAAACAGAGCTCTTGCAGCAATGTTTTTTCATTGCGTCACTTTGGCCCCTAATCTTACCGGTGAGATCTACGTCTGATTTCATGCTGGAGTCCATTTCTGTGAAGATTTCCTGGAAGTGATCGCTGACGGCTGCCAGGACAGCTCTATGGGCAGAGTAGGATTGTCCGTTGGTCCGCAGTGTAATGTCACAGAAAAGCCCGGCCTCCCGCTGATTCCTCAGCTTGCTCAGCATGTCAGCGCTGTGTGACACCATCGTCTTGGTGACACATCCTCTGCCACCCAGCCCCTGAGAGACAAAGACGGCAACACAGAAGAAGATAGCGAGGCATCATTATTGTACTGCAATGTGTGTGAAGCACTTGCAGAGTGTGAGAGCAAGACTTTGGTGAGAATGAGAGTGAGAAAGTATGGATTAAAATGTGTGAGATGCAGAAAATGAGGCAGTGATAAAATGAGAGCTGAAAGTTTGATGAGTGTAAATTAAAATGACAGCAGGACAGTTATGTACCTTAGGTTTCTTGGTGTGCTGGCTCTGACACTCTTGACAGCCCAGGACAAAATCTCTGATCTGGAAGTACATCCCTGTGAAGAAAAAAATAAAATATATCAAACTGATGTTGATCAAAAGTCTGACAATGTTAGATGTACTGTCTCACAAATAAGTAAAGCAAGTGGCATGATTAGGAGCCTTCAATCATGTGTGAGTACATGTCTTTATCTTTGATTGATTTAATCACTAGTGAGTGCTGTTTCAAATGTCCCTACACATCCTAACAAGAAGACTAAAGATTCAAAGGCTTTATAGTGCTATGCACAATAGATACAGCTAGCTTTGGTGATATATAAGAGAAGATGCATTTGGGATAACATTTACTTTATTCATCCCAAATTGTTTTTTTTTGTCACATTAGCATTTTAACGAACATTACACAAGTTAATCATATACAAATATATAATTATAATAGAAATAAATAGACAAACGCTAAATATATACATATCAATACAAATTGTCTACATCAATACAGTATCTAAAGAATACACAATATAAAATGTACAGAATAAGTTAGAATACTATAATAGACAAACCTACTACATTGCCTGACATATATAAACATATGATATTTACATACATTGTGAATGTGTGTAAAGTAACTGCATTTTTCTGTTAATGATTACAATGTAAGCATTGGACCTTAATATCCTAAGTACCAGGCTGTGTGCAGTGAACTTCCTCATACCTTCCCACCAGTAGTTTTCAGCCACACATTTGTAAGTCTCCTCCAGGGACAGGTGGGGCTGTCCGAGGCGCCGCCGGTGAAAGGTGAAGAGGGCCTCTTGTCTCCGGTCCTCCTCCAAGACCTCACGGTAGTTGAAGAAGCCCTTCTCCAGCTTCTTGCGGTACAACAGCCCGTCTATCGTCTCAAAGTTGGGCGACCACCGTGCGGGAAGTCCACGCCCTTTCATGTTCCCGGCTGCCTGCATCCCCCTGTCTCCGTCTTCATCTGACCAGGGTTTGGACGGACAAAACGTCTCTGCCTTCTTGTAGTGAGCCTTCATGTGGGTGCAGTCGCCGGCCATTTTATCAATTGTTTTAATATTCTGTTGTAAAAATGTAACTTTGTGTCTTTGGCTGAGAAGCACCACAGCTGCTCCCTCTGAAGTAATCAGTCCCAGCGGGGGACTGAAAGCCTAACTTTACCCACCAACCTGAAACACAGTCCACGTGGATACGGTGACAGCAGACAACAGAGCACCGTTTTTAACAATAAATACAGAAGAAACAGTCTTTGACACCCTGCTAATAGTCTGACAAACCCTAGTGGACGGATACAAACTAGCCTATTAGCTTAAATGAACCGCAACGTCTCATTATGGCTTATACAAAAGCTTGCTTTTCCAAAGAAGAAGAAGATGGGCATTTCACTAGCTGTCATCACTTCTCACTATCCAAACAGTTGTGGCTAACATCCCTAAAACATCAAAATACTTTCTTTTGGGGAAGCATTTGGTCAAATCTACGCTACAACAATATACAGGTTAGACTGTCCATCCGAGTGTAGATAATACATGCAGCCAGGAGAGTATCGCGCCAACAGCCCCGAGACAAGGGATGTAAAGTCACCAGTTTCACAGCGACCCCATGAACAGGCGATCCCCGCGAAACGCTCACCAGCAGCCCGTCTCCATCTGTCTCAGGGGTCGGGAGTGGCCCTCCGGGGATGGATGGCGGCGGGCAGCCTCACCTCCGACGTTAACTTGAGATTTCTTTTCGCCAACTCGAGTCGGAAGCAACATGATGACGCAGCTATCAGCTCAGCATCGCCACTTGAACCAACGACCTAAAAGCGAGGTTGTCTCCGCTATCAGTCAGAAATGTTCAAAATCACAAGATCCAATCTCCTCAAAAGCGACCCAACAAGCTCCGGTTAGACACCCGACTTAGTTAGTAGCTCTCTCGGTGCCGCAAAGCCAGTATGTCGGTCAAATTCTCTATTTTTCTAAACTCGTAACCTTCTGTTTGTTGCTAATCAGCAGACTACTAACCGAGACGAGTTTTCCCCGCCTTCACACAAAGGCTATTAGCAGAAGCTTTAAAGAGAATCTGCCAGACGGCATGTGATTGGCTGACAGAGCTGCCATTGAAATTAGTTTCTTCCCAGTGCAGCAAGGTAGGTTGCTCTCACACGATGCCAGTATACTAGAATTTGCTTCACTTGTTACAAATAGAATACACCCATCAAACAGAACATAGAACCCACTGTGTATTGTATCAATACTGTAATAAACATACTGGTTATATTTATTTTTTTATTTCACAAAAGAATATATAAAAGCTCAACAACAGCAGCAAATGTATAAAGTGTTACAAATACATAAGAAGAGGATAACATTACATCCGAAGATAGTTGATCTTCAGAAATAATTATTTTGATTGTATTCATTGAATGTGCCATATATATATATATATATATATATATATATATATATGTATATGTCTAGAGTCTGACCACAGTGAATCCTTCAACCATTCAAGGCAACATCAAGACCGTGTTTGTAATTGATCGCATTACTTTCCTGTTTCTGTTTCTGTATTGACCATCATGTTTGTTTTTAAGTGTTATCCAATCATTCGGAATGTTATAATTAATCATATATACCGAAATAACTGCTATCCAAAAATACTTGCAAACACAGGATGCATTTATAATAACAGTTATCTGTAAATATATCCATGAGCATTGAAAGCTTATGAGACATGTGTACTCTGATGACTGAGCATTAGATGTAGCTTTTTGCACTTAATATACAGATAGCATTTTGCATTAAAATGTATTGAACAGTTAAACCAAGTTAAGACTGCACTAAAGTAACCATGTAATACTATAATACACATAAATCCCATGCTCTGAATTTAGGGGATTCAGTTGTTATAGTTCTACAAGAGGGAATGCATGGGATTGGTAATTTCCTGGATAATCCTTATATTTTGTGTACATCCCAATATGTTTAACAGTCTCATTTTGTTTAGGTTTTGATAATACAAATTAAATCCTGGTTACAGTCCAAAATACATTTAGACACAGTCATGCACATCATCGATGTACATCTACTCAGCAACATTAACTCTGCATTATTCTGGTGCACACAGACATACTTTTCACAAGCGAACATGTTTTCATAACCATTGTAGTTGGAAAAGCACGAATCATCCCACATACTTGTACTGAAAACCACTTGGAAGCAATATTTATGAAACGCTCTTTATTAGACAATGAGAAAAGACTTAACAATTTGAGCTCTTCACTTCAGCTGCTGGCCCGCAGTCTTCAGCTAAATAAGACTTTTTCATCGTTTTTCACAAGGCACTAATCCTTGAAGTGGTTCTTTCTTCTTCAGGTTTTCAGCAGTTTAACAATCACATTATTTAAAATAAGTAAAACAGAACTTTTCACTTAAGCATCTAAATGTCAAAATAATCCAATACAACATTGTTAATGTATGATACAAAAATACACAATAAAAATAAGTATTAATACAAAAGACAGTTTGTTTTATAACCAAGTACATTATGTGAGGATAAAGCTTTTTAAGGAAGTACAAGCAACCCACACACGGTGGTGCTTCATCCATGGGGAACATCATTGTTTTTACACTGAAGCGTCTCCCTCTGCAGTTTTTAATCTTTTCTGAAATCCCTGTATCACACATTAAGTCTGGGTGGCACTGCTCTTCGCTGCCGGCTCACTGGTCTTGGACCGTTTTGGCTCTGGAGGCTGGCACACCGGATCGTTGGGAGGAGAAGGGCGTTCTGGAGAAATGCAACAGAAAGGTTTAGTGACAGAAGGGTTGCACCTGAAATAGACTGACTAGTAAACACACTAATAATTCAAATGCAGGAGACAGGGCATGACGTGAATTCCCCCTTACTACAGTTGTTGGTACTTCTTTTGTATTGTTGGCTATTTATTGCATCGGGCAAGAATCATGGTAAGTCAGGTGATCATACAGAATTTAAACAAGCCCCAGTTTAGTTGAAATTATTCCAAAAAGCAACAAAATGGTATATTCTTTATTCCATTCTGTTTGCCGTACTTGCCAAAGCACAAACACAATGTTCCTGTCCAATGAATAATCATTTGTTGTCTGTTTACTTTCAGTTTGACCTCTAAGCAAAGTGGATTGCGTGGTCAGGCCATTGGTTTGTTAACAACTTGTCGGATTGTCTCACTACTTCTGTTTCTGGCTCTATTGGACTGTTGCTGTGTTCCCAAATCGTAGCAATTACTCTGGCCAGTACAGCACGTTTAGCATACCCAATGGAAAAGTCAAACCTATAAAATAAGCCAAATAGCAACAGTAATATTGTTGAGGATGCGTTTTAAGCTCTAGAAATAATACATATAGCAAATGTGATTAAAGTGTTGGATTTAACACAGTTTCTGCAAATATACACTGATCACAAATAGGGATGCACTGATTTACATTTCTCTGAAGAGAGAGACTGCTATCTCACATACAAATTATTATAAGGCGTTTGATGCAGTAAGAAATACTATTAAACATCCTATGCTGAGGTTTCTGACTCGGTACCAGGAGAGGTACAGGTGGTCGGTGCATTCCTAAGCACAACAGAGGTCAGGTTGTGAGGCTGTCAATGAGGGAGGGGGATTTATGAGACATCAGCCTCATACTTGCATCATTAAGGTAGTCAGAGTATCACCCTCACTCACCGTGTTTGGCCTTCTCAGTGGAGGAGGGAGTGCGGAAGAGTGAACTAACAGCTGGAGATCGGGATGCAACTGTAGTCAAAGATACCCTCCTGAAACAAGTGGAAAAAGCACAAATGTTATAGAGGCTTCGAGCGTGAGAAAACACAACAAAGTACAACGATATTTACTCTTGAAGTGAACCAAGTCAATCACTGCTCTGCTTCATGTCTCTGTGTTCTACGTAGTCAAACTAGCCAAGGCGAACGCTCAAAGTTACAGATAAAAGGCAAATCCAAAAGCGTGTGCAGGCCTGCCTTTGTCTACACGCAGTCTGTCAGAGTGATTATTATTTTATAGTCAGTGGGGGGTCCAACGGATCCCCCATACCAGACAGGGCTTTGTTCTCACAGCCCGTACTGAGCACGTAAACAGAGGAAAACATCACAAGCCCATTACGGCCTTCCTAATTGATCCTGCATTTGTAAAAGTAAATTATATAAAAATAGCATTCTACACTTTCTAAACATCACGGTGCTTTCCGACGTTTAGTAGTCATTTGTAGACGGCATCTTAAGAGATAATCAGCTTTGATCATCAGGGGGAGGGAGGGAGGGAGGGGGATGCAGAATGCTTAAAGTCTGATGCTAGTCACATTTGAATAGTTCAAGTATTTCCATAAATTACCATAAGCACTTGTGTTTCGAAGCAGCACCTGCCTTCTTCACACCATGCAGTGCATCTAACAGAGGTACATACTCTGAGAGGAAACGTTTAGGTTCTTGCTGTGAAATACATTATTTTACATTTACTCTTTGGCTTAAATACTAACAGCTTTCCCCATCAACTCACTGATTGGTTCACTACGCCTGCTTCCCGTCCAATTTAAGGTTTAGTTAAACATCTTTAAACGTTTTTTCTCTACTGTATATCAGTAATACATGGTTCACTTAACAGTCTCCCTGTGGGGTTCAGATTAGAAAGCCATGCAAGAGAAATGCATTGACCTGATTGGTTCTTATTCTTTTACAATAAGGTCGCTCTGGTATTTGATATAAATAAATTGTTTTACTTATTTACTAATGATTATGTAAAACATATGTATATCTTGTTCCTAACACAGGAATAATGTCTTTACATTTAGTGATTTACATGAGATAATTGTGAATTTTGATGTATCATTATTACCTGAGACAAGGTGGTTATGCACTTGGATGTGTTTGTCGTTTTGTCAGCAGGATTCAATTAAAGACTACTGGTTTTTATAAAACTTAGTGGAAGGCTTAAGCGTGGGCTAGGGAAGAACCAACTTAAATATATGGAGTGGATCCGAAGTTTCAATTAAACCTTGAAATATTATAAATTAAAGTATAGATAAATCATCATGATTTGCAGCCCTACTACACGCACATATTCCTGCCATTGTGTCCATTGAAAAGCCTACCTGTCGATGATCAAAGCATAAGTGTGGAAATAAAAATGTTCACACTTTCATTGGTAGAATAATAAACTAATTTATATTTGCCAACTCTGGACAAATCATACCTAATACCTCCTTTTGCAATTACCTTGGGGTGGGCCCCTTTGGGGTGGTGGTACCTTTAGGAGTCATTTGCCCAGCGTTATTACCACTGGCCTTAGGGGTGGAGGGAGTGAGGGTGCCGATGCGGGGCTGTGTTGTGGACGAATTGGTAGGGGTGAGAGGTGGCTGTGTTGAGGAGGACTGGGTCGGGGTGAGACGTGGCTGTGTTGAGGAGGACTGGGTCGGGGTGAGAGGGGTGAGACGTGGCTGTGTTGAGGAGGACTGGGTCGGGGTGAGACGTGGCTGTGTTGAGGAGGACTGGGTCGGGGTGAGAGGGGTGAGACGTGGCTGTGTTGAGGAGGACTGGGTCGGGGTGAGACGTGGCTGTGTTGAGGAGGACTGGGTCGGGGTGAGAGGGGCGATGCGAGCCTGGGGAGTGGAGGGTGCGCTGGGGCTCTCAGACGTTGGGGTCTGAGGGGATGGGGGAGCTGTGGTTTTAGGGGAGGAGGGCTTCCCCCAGCCCTGCAGGGTGTTCAGGGTGATTCTTCGGGGCAGAGGTTTGGACTTGGCACTCGGGGTGCTCTTCTTCTCCTCTGGGGGGGTGACGGGGGTGACAGGGGTGAGTTTGCTGATGATGGTTTGGGATGTGGGGGTCTGGGCTGAGCTTTGTGGCTGGGTCAGGGGAGACGAGTTTCTAGCAGCTGCCGACTTCTTGCCCTTTTTCTCAGTGGCAGTGCTTGGTGTAAAGACCTCCAGGGTGGGGGGCTCCTTCAGCGCAGTGCCCAGCTCCCCAGGAGAGAAGGAGAGGAAGGAGCAGTAGCCGTCTGTGGAGGACACCGCCAGGAAGGAGCCGTCCCGGGACCTAAAGAGGAGATAATATGAAAACGTGTCAGTAGGTGGAGGGCTAAAACATGGTTGAAACATATTTTGAAATGATCTAAGGCTGAAGCGTTATGCTTATTCCCCCAAACCCATTTACGTGACTTGACGTGTTGTGCCTATTAACCAGCTGTATAAAGAGTTGACCAATTAAAGCTTATAAAGAGGACGTTATCTTCCTCCATATGTTTTAGTAAGTATACATTCTTATCAAAGACATGCACACAACTCATTCCCACAAATGTTGAAAAAGATGTAAAGCTTTGCAAGAACGCTAATGGCCAATAGAAGTGAGCCCTGGTTTACCACGTGAGGTCGCTGAGTGTGTGGTAGTGGATGTTTGACACCAGGCCGAAGGGAAGGGTCTGCTGCGTGTCATACAGGTAGATGGAGTCCTCAGACGCCACAGCGAACACCATGCGGTACGGCAACTGGAAGACGTTGGGAAGAGTCTGAACTGTACCATCTGCAGAGGAGAAATGGAGGAAGAATAAACAACACAGACAAGTAAAACATTAAGGGTAAAGAGGATAAAGCAGTGAGGGCTTCATAATCCTGTCACACGGTCTTGCCTTCTAGCGTCTTGGTCCTCAGTTCAAAGTAGACGGGGCAGCATCGCACAGCCAGTGTAGCTTTAGACGGACATGGCAAGTGTGCGATAGGCCTAAAACATAGACAGAGGTTTGTAAATCAGCAATAATTGACTATAAAAACTAAGTATACCATTGCATGTGACAAAAGTTACCTCTTGAGACTCTTCCTGGAAAAGATGTAGGTGGTATTTATGATGTTTTCTCCAATCTCCACGCACCCAGCTGAGGTCAAAAAGGTTGACAACATGTAAGCTATGTTAATTTGGATTCTACAACAATAAAATTCACCTGGTCAATGCCAACTAGAACCACAGTTTGAGCGCGCTATCTAGGTACCTGGGGCGAGCAAGAAAGATCCATCTGGTGTGAAAGAAAGACGACGAAAAAACGACCTCATGCTGTCGTCATGGAACATTCTGTGCTGCTTCACCTGCGAACATTGAGAGAAATGCAGCACTGAGTGTGTTGCTTGCCTCAGAGTTTTTTCTCTCTCTCAAGATTCAAGGCTTTATTGTCCTATGCACAGTAGCTACAGTGTAGATATGGCAAAGAAAAACTTAAGTCACAGGCTCCTCCAACAGTCCAACATATATATAGGACATAAAACAGATAAAATAGTGCAAGAGAATGTTTTGAGATGTGCAAGTAAATACAAATACAAAGAAATAGTGAGAAATAGAGTGGCTCTCTGACAGTATTACAAAGTATTTAAAATGACAGACAATGTTAAGTGTAGTATATGGCTGATTATAGACCTTAGTCACATGTAAAACAATTCGAGACTCAACAGAGAATCATGAAAAGGAACATTTCTACTGACCTCTCCCTCTGCGAGAGGCCCAGAGCTCATCTTACTGATGCAGAAGGCTTTCTTCTTGGTGTGAGTGCTGTACACACGCATCACTCTGAAGAGGAGGACAGACACAAAAATATCTTAGGTATCAAAAGTGAAAGTGTACATTAGCACATTCATTTCATGAAGATTAGCCGCATGATGAGACCATGAGGGGTCTGGATCCATGTTGTTGTACCTGTCACAGCTGAGAGTGGCTACATATTGCCCCAGAGGATCCCAGGTCACCCCCTGTACGTAACTCTTATGGTCATTCAAGATGGACAGCTTCGTTCCTGAACACATAAAACCGTTGCAACACACATAATAATTCTTGTGATAAAACCACGTTGTACATTTTGCACATATATAATCTGTTCTATATTTTATATTCCATATATTTATGTATATATATATATTTGTATATATAATATCTACATGTATATTTTCTATTTCAACATGTATATTTTCTATTTTATTTGTATTCTTGTTTATTTCCCAAATTGGGATCAATAAAGTACCATCTTATCTTATAATAAATACAGAAGCAAAATAATATGTGATCTTACACATAAATATGATCATGGATTTGTTACTGAAATCCAAAATATAACAGATGAAACTGAAAGGAATACACAGATATGTATGAGTCAAAGCAAACCTTTGTTGATGTCCCACATAATAGCCGTGTTGTCAACAGACCCGGAGATCATGGAGCTTGCGTCCCGTGTCCAGCAGATGTCATACACATCCTCTATGTGACCCCTAAAGACACATTAAATGATGAGAAATCCCTTTGTATATCCATACACGTCTACACCTATCAGATAGCAAATAGATCAAACAAGTAGATCTCAAAACTCTTACTAATTGAACCAATTGAATAAGATAAAACAATGGGATCTATTACCAAAATATCTGCATTGTGGCTTATAAATCTGCAGGGTTTGTATACCGTGGTTAAATTCATTGAAAAGTTTCTCTACAAAAAAGTCTAACTATGGTTGCTGCCCCTTTTATTAAATAAGTACAATCCCTTTAAAACAACAGATAAAAGCAAATGTAACAAGTTTCCCCCAGCAAAACAAATGCACAGTGGGGTTACATGTTTTGTTTAAATCAACTTCACAATATTAACATTACGGTCGATTTATCTGGATATTTTAATAACCGATATATAGTTACTGCCAGAGTTGCGTACCTTAAAGTCTTGACCACAGTCCAGCTCTCTTTGTTGAGCAGAGCATCTTCATCCTCCTGGAACATGGGCATCGGCTCTGGCTCTTTAGAGTCATTGAGCTTCCACAGCAGAATCGCTGCATCTGTAGCAACAAAGGAATACAAAAATCACCCTAGAATTACTAAAAGGCCACTGATTTGAAATAATTTGTTCCGATTTAAGAATGACAGTGCCTTCTAAATGGGCTAAAAAAACGTCATAGTACAAATTAGACCTAGTGTCTGTGTATAATGTGAGACCAACCATCTCCTCCTGAGGCCAGCAGCTCTCCATTGGGGCTGAAGCGCACAACGTTCACAGCCTTGGTATGTCTGGTGAGATTAGACAGAAAGTCCACCACTGCCTTCCCGTCAGGGCCCATGTCCACCCGCCACAGCTGCATCAACATGAGAACAAAAAACAGTTAAACATGTTGTCTGTAAAGGACTGCGACCATGTACATCGCAGCTGCAAGTAAATACAGAAAATGTACCAATTAACTACATTTTCAATCATAAAGCTCCCATAAAAAAATGGGACAACATGTCTTAAGATATAATACAATTTGATTAGAAACCTACTTTTTAATTACACATGGTAGATTTGCTTTCTTCGCATAGTAGCATACCCATTGATGTTTGTTTGGTGGGATATGGTTTGCAGCAATAACAGTTTGCATATCTAAAAAGCTGTACTAAGCAGTGTTTCATGTTAGCTATGTCAATATGAAAATGCAAGATTATTATATTCTGTCAGAAACCACCAGCAATGGTACATGATGTTTCCTCTAACACAATAACTGAAACTCCCTTCTTTGGGTCTGCACATCTGCCCAATGCATGCACATATTTAAAGTGACATTTGCTGTGCCTTATACCACACAAGCGCATAGGCACGGATTTACATCACCGGGTCAATATGGTGAGTCTTGGTCGGACTAGTATGTTATTTGTCCATCACTGTGCACTCACTCTAACTGTGGTGTCCACTCCAGCTGTGGCCAGCCGACAAATGCGACCATCCGGGCTGTGCTGGAAGTCCAGACTGTAGACTGGCTCCTTGTTGTGCCATGCAATCTCACACGTAACCACCTTCATTTTGTATATGAATGACTGACCTCAGGAGGAAAACACATGCAAGTATTAAATGTGATACCTTTAAAAGTTTCTAACGGGCTGAAGTTGCATAATACATCTCTACATACTTGGCAATATAGAGCCCTTGTTACGGGTTACAGAATAACTTAAGTCACTGAAAACGAATGCTAACTAGCTTTTATTGTTAGCACTACATTTAGCGGGTTTGTTGGGATGACGTCTAACTAACATTGCGTACAAATGACAAAATTGGGTAAGCGTTTACATACGTGTGAAGGTTGGTTACAGTAACAGCTGAGTTACATACCTTTATACTTTATCCTTGTGTTTATTTGAAGTTATCTCAAAGTACAGTCTTACCTCCTCTGTTGTCCAGCTGAAGCGAAAAGTAATTTCCCGCGTACGATCCGTTCAAAACTTCCGGCCGAGGGAGCTGCAGTGATTGGACGAAAACGCGGAAGAGGCGGGGACTGTCTGGCTGCATTACCGTTTCAGTCAGTTTAGACCGGTGTTTACCTTTTTTAGTTTCAAAGAATGTTCTATTATTATTACTTATTAACTTATACGTTAATATAACTTATGTTATATCTTTATATAATATATAACAATCATTATTTTATGCAAATATCATATCCGAAAATCCAAATGTAATGATGTCATGTATACAGGGGTGCACATAACTTTGTTGCCCTGGTTCTCAAAGGAGCACCTGGAGATGTTGCTTGGTGCTCATCCTTAAAATTAAATAAACCGTAACTTTTGAGGGGGTCTTGACTTTATTTGCCAGACACACGGCACTGAACACACATGCAGAGGTGAACACAGAACACACATGCAGAGGTGAACACAAGACAACATTAGCACGACCAGTAATCCTACAAGCTGTCATCACTACCCTCCTGACTGTTCTCCTCACTGTCAGACATGGTAGCTGATGATGTAGGCCTACTACTTTCTCTCTGGTTGAGTCTGCGATTAGCAGCTGGTTTTGGGTCGAAAGTCTCTGTTGTCATCTTAGAAAAGTGGATGTAGTCAAATAAGTAGTGAACATAACCAATAACCTACCATAGCCAATAACAAATTAATGTAACTTATTTTATTTATGTTGTTCATTCATATCTTATTTTACCTTAACATTTATTTATTTATGCTTTTTTTTATCTCCAGTTTTAAAGGATATGTTTGGTTACTGTCCTATAGTATACATTGGAATGATTTCAAACCTGTTTATCCCAATAATTATAAAGGAGTGCCTTGGAAATATGTGTTTACATAAATTGTGACCAAACCGTTTGAACTTAGACTAAAGTGAACTATCTAAACACTCAGAGTACTTACCTCACTGAGCTGTAGTTATCAGAGAGGACTCTCCCTCCACATTATTGTAGAAACATCTTCTTCATATATCCGTTAAAGCAGCTAGCACCAGATTCCAGAGATGGGGACTCGAGTCTGTGACTCGGACTCGAGTCGCACTTAAGTCGCACACACAGAGACTTCAGACTTGACTTGGACTCCTGCTCAAAAGACTTCGGACTCGACTTGGACTCGTGTTTTGGGACTCGTGAACAATCATTGTGTTTTCTATTTTTGGCGTATTAAAGGTGGGGTAGGTAAGTTTGAGAAACCGGCTCGAGATCGCTAGAGAATTTGAAAATACACAACCGGAGAAAATCTGCCACTTCCTCACAGAGCCCCTCCTCCAACACACACGAACGCGCACATGACCAATGAGGGCACGAGATAAGTTTGTGCCCCGATGACAGGCAGGTAGGCCATCCAGTTATTTTAGCCGGGCCGGCTATCGGGATGTTAAGAGCATTCCATGGAATATAACAAAAAGTGTATCTCGAGCCGGTTTCTCAAACTTACCTACCCCACCTTTAACATTAACATTAACATCATGGTAACACCATGGCGACCGGCGGCACACCTGCAGCTGTACCGCTTGTAATTAGGTTCAACTATAAACACTTCGAACAAAACGCCGGCGGCACCAACAAAAGGAGCGCACACTGCAAAGTCTGCAATATTAAAATCGAGGATGCTGGTGCAACAACGTCAAATGTCATCAGGCACTTGAAAACTCACCCGGAGAGGTCAGTCACATTAACGCATATGGACGGTTAGCAAACATGTTTAGCTCAGCATCAGCTATGTAATGTTAACTTAGCTTGCTACTAGCTTTGTAACTGAATATTTGAAAAGATGAGTGAATGTTTGCTTGTCACACTTGTTTGCGTTGAGTGGCGTTGACATCCAACTCTTGACATGACATAAAAAAGGTCGGTAACGTTAATCATTACGTTCCGCTGCCACCATCTACTGGCTAACGTTAAACGTAGAAAAATACATAGTTACATACATAAATACATCTGTCGGTTTATAGGCAGGTTACAGGTTTATTGTTGACCACGTAACGTTAATGTTACAGGTTTATCAGGTTACCATTACACTGGGTTTGAGTGAGAGGATAGAGGAATATGTTTATTTATAGTAGACTTAAAAGATGTAATTAGAGACCCAGTGTAATTAAACAATACGGTTGCAGAGGTCAAACTGGCCAAATGGCTAGCCTAGTGAATGTTGAAATGTTACCAGCCACTCAATAGATTGCCATTGTTATTTGTGGCTGGTGCGTGCAACATACAGTACCAACCACTTGCATGATTTACCAGCATTTGGCTGGTAAATGGTGTTAATGGTAGATATCTCTTTTGGAACAGGTCATGTTTTAATATCACCAGTTCAGTATATTTCAGATAATATTGCAGCAATAGTTTTTTAGTTGCAAATGGCACAGAACAAATGTTTACTTTGAAGTACTTTTAACACAGTTTCCCTGCGGGGGATTAATAAAGTATTTGTGATACTGATTTCTGATTCTGAAGTGTTTTGCTTATAAGTTGTTTGCATTTAGCTAAAGTGTGATGTTTGTCCTCATATTGCAATGGCCTGTTTAAAGTGATCATATAACAACTAATCAGTACTGATACTGTATGCTAATAGATATAGGAGTGATAATAATACAGTAAATGCTTTGAATGTCTTAGATATAGCTGTGCAGTATTCTTAACAGACTGGATAGCAGCAGACAATAGAAGGCTTATTACAACCAGAAGAGACATGAGACTTTTATTTTTTAGAGACTTGAGACTTGACTTGGACTCGTGACCAAAGACTTGAGACTTGATCAAGTCTCACCCCACAAAGACTTGAGACTTGACTTGGACTCGTGACCAAAGACTTGAGACTTGGACTTGCAAAAAAAGACTTGTGAACATCTCTGCCAGATTCTAATAACAACAGCGCCGGTACAGGTGCACCCTCCCTCTCTCCCACGCTCACTCGCACTTTGGCTGTGAGCTGCGGGCGCCAGATAAGCCAACATCCCCCATTTTCATCACTTACAGCGCCCATCGTACAGGGCAAATGAAACGTGTAACCGGGGTGAAAAGGGTGTTACATTTACTTTATTATGAATGTTGTTACATCAAGGCCGAAAATTAGGATGAGCACCAACGGTCAAAATGTTTCTTTCCCTCCCAGAGCTGCCAGCGCAGCGCCTCCCCAGATCTGGCGCCCTAGGCGAAAATCATTACGCCAGCGCTACGGGCCGGCTCTGAGTTCATATCATATAGGTTCATATGCAACTCGCAAATATATTTCTCTCTCTCTCTCTCTCTCTTTTCTCTTCTCCCTTCTCTCTCGCAATGTTGGTACGCAAATGCGCCTTTTTTCAAATGACACGGTGCTCTTTTTTTGGCGGAGGTGCGCATGCGCACGTGCGCACCAGTTATGTGCAGCCCTGCATATATATATATATATATATATATATATAAAAATAAAGCACTACATAATAAACACTGTCAAGATAATATGTGCAACCCCTTTAGCGTATTTGACATTGTGGTTTTTTGTTTATTTCATTTGTTTTCTGTATTTTACTTTCTATAATATACAACTTTTTTAGGTCAAACATTTACATGTGTTAAAATCTTTACTCTACCTGCTCTTATTAATGTATGCCCTTCCCATGATCAAATTCTTATTCACAAATGATGTATATCAACTAAAGCACACAATTGTTGTTCTTTTTAAACCTGTAGTATGTAGTTGGAGGTAAAGTATGTGTGAGGGGACATGTGTGCCACTACCATTTTACTTTTTTTTTTTGTTCAACGACTGCATTTATACATTTAACCAAAAAGGAAATGTATTATTCCATTGTTGCATTTAAAAAAAATTCAAGCAAGCAACACTTGTTAAGTAATAAGTGAAGGTTCTGGATTATTCTTGATAATCAGAAGGATTGAGAAGGACCCCAATGATAAGGTTTGAAAGAAAATGTCATCACAGAGCAAGGGCAGCATTTATAAAAATATATATTTGACAGGAATACAAAAAAAGTATGCTTCAATTCAAACTTAACAGGAAACAACCTGCTATTATTTAAAACAACATCAGGAACAGTTTTTAGAAATATAAAAGGAAACTGTGAAATTCCAGGATTTTACACAGAAACGTAAGAACAAAGTTAATGGCGTATTACATTCATTATTGTATAGTGATTGCATTTGTTATATTGCTTTAATATGAAAAGAAAAAAATTGTTTAGCAGTGTATAATGTTAAATTCACTATCATCAAAAAAAACTGTACAAATTACATCTATAACCAGGGGTGCACATAACTGGTACGCAGGTACGCATGCGCGGCAACAATCTGAAATGCGCAACGTCACTTGTGTCACTACGCGCCTTTGCGTACCTGATAGGTCATCAAAAACAAAAACACATATTTCGTCTACACGTGTTTCTTGTCAACACTCAGTAGAGTAAATTATTAGACATGTCCAAAAAAAACAAAGACATTAAGCAGCTACGTTGTCGTTTCGCTCCCTGCAAAAATTTTCGGACTTTCTATGACTGATTGAACTGGAGAGCGAGCCGCGCAGGACATAACCGACGGACCTGTGAAGCTTCACAGGAGAAAGAGGCTTAGATCACTGGACGACAGAGTTGTTCACCGTGTGCACAGACGGGGCTGCTGTTAACGTCGGTGCGTACAACAGAATTGTGCCAAAACTCCGCCAACTGGCTGCGGTGGTAGGCTCCCCTGTGCACATTCTGTGCCCCGCGCACACACGGGAGAACTGCGCAAAATCAGCTGATCACAACGTTCACGCTCTGTGGTCAAGCTGCTGCAGTTTTATGTAAAACAAAGTGGAGTAAAACACACAGCTGCAAACTTACTCAGGCTGTTAATTGCAGAGTTTGAAATCAGACAGAGGTGGAAGAGGTGTTACTCTCTAAGTGTCTGTGTTTACAGACACGTGCATTTCCTAACATTCGGTCTGTAAAATGTAATATCTCTTCGATTTACACACGGCATCTATTGCACGTCTGTCCGTCCTGGGAGAGGGATCCCTCTGTTGCTCTCCCTGAGGTTTCTCCCATTTTTTCCCCTTAAACTGTGGGGTTTTCTCTGGAAGTTTTTCCTTGTACGATGTGAGGGTCTAAGGACAGAGGGTGTCGTTTTTCTCATACTGATATTCTGAACAATCTGTGTTGTTGTATTTGCTGTAAAGTGTCTCTACTGTAGGCTATTTTTATTATATGTACAGCACTTTGGCTCGACCAAAAATCGTTTATAAATGTGCTATATAAATAAAACTTGATTTGATTTACTCAAATACAATTTGAAAAGTATTATCATCAAAATCTTAAAGTAGCGACAGTAAAAGTAGTCATTTTGCAGATTGGTCCATTTCATAATGATGTATATGATGTTTTATGATCATGAAAGTGTTATCAAATGTGTTTGAATGACTGTGTATACTGCAGGGTAGATTCTGAATTTACTCCAGGTGTAACTAAAGTCTGATTTAAGACTTGACTATATTTCACATCATTAATCCAGATCTGTAAAGTAACTAAATGTAAATAAATGTAGTGGAGGAAAAGTACATGATTTACCTCTGAACTGTTGTGGAGTAGAAGTACAAAGTAGCATAAAATAGAAATACTCAAGTAAATTACAAGTATCTTAAATTGTACTTAAGTACAGTACTTGAATAAGTGTACTTTGTTACTTCCCACATCTGAAATCAGATATTACTTCAAGTCATGTGATCATTTCTTAGTATTTGATCCTTCAACTTGGCCTCAGGAAATGCAAGGACTTCACAGTTTTGGCAACAAGTTTTGGAGAAAGCAAATCGGAGGCTTAAAAAGAGACAGGGAGGTGCATCTTCATCATCTTCATCATCAAGCATGCAAGAAGTGTAAATAGAGGACGGTGAAGGAGACACTGAGGAGGACCACGCTTCGTGTGGGGTGAGTACCAAACGCTGTCTCCTGGTACTCATCTGAGTAACTCACTCAAAAAGTTATGTGCATCCCTGCCTATGACCCTTCAAATAAATACAACGGAATTTCCCCCACTCACATATCAATGATTTACAGGTGGAGTGGTACCTAATTCAAAGACCTGATGATTTGTTTATTCATTTGTTGCTCCGTCTCTTGGTGCAACAGACACCCCACTAGAGAGCACCTGTTCTAGGATCTCATCAATGACATTGCACTCGTAATTGACCTGGTCCAGTTCCAATGGCACGTAGGAGAGGAGAAGGCGCCCGACGTTGTGCCTCAGCTCAATCAAACTGAGAAACAAAACCAAAAAACAGAATACGTCATTATTCTACGGCTGCTGAGTTCAGGAATCCGATAAATCAGGTATTGATCATCTATCAATCTAACCTTCTGGATGTTTCCGAGCTTGACTGTGTGCCAGAGGTAGATGCCTCTCCTGCCTCCTCTGGATCTGTTTGTACGGTGGAATCAGAGGCTCTGTGTGGAGTTGTACTGCTCTCTTGTGCGTTATCCTTCTCCTGCTGCAGGCTCAACCTGAACTCCCACTGGGATACCAGGTTGGTCTTTTCCTCTTCCAGACTGGTCAACTAGTGAGTGAACCCCAGGAGAAAAGAACATTATCAAAGAAGGCAGGTCAACATCAATTACACAAAGGTACACACACATATCTACACGGGCTAGCAAATAAAGGGTATATTATTGAGAAATGAAATGTAACAAAAGACAACAACAACAAAAAACAATATGCTTGTCGATATACGTTTGATTTATCATAATCTGTCTAAGGTAAAAGAAGAGAGGCAGATTCTTAACGCATGTGGAATAAATAACTAAACTACAGTGCCATTATAAGAAATGATTTAGCATTGTTGGTATTATTATGAAAAATTGTGTAATTTGACATCTTCAGTAAGCAGAGATTGGCTTAGGGGAGGAAGTAATAAAGACATGTGACACTGTTGGCTTTGGTCTTTTTATGGGATTTGATGAAAATAAAGCGTAACACCAGTCTAGTACGCCAGTGGTTCCCAACGATTGTTGTCTCGTGTACCCCTTGAGCTGGTCGCCATTCTATAAGTACCCCCTCACTCATCTGTTATAATTTGCCTAAATTTGTTCGTGTATTAAACCCTTTGTTATCGTGTTAACCCAACTGCTCCTAAATGAAAATCACTTGCATAACTCACATTCAATACAAATGCATTTAAACTTGAAATGTACACTTGTTGTCAGGTAAAGAAATTATGTTAAGACTCACTACTTATTTAGGAAGCCAATCATGTCTTTTTTAAGGAGAAGACCCCTCCACTCTGAACAGTCACTTTTATCTGTCATATTTGAAAAGAAACAATGTTATTTTCTGTATTCATGTAAGACAAAAGTTATTTATTTATTTGGCGATGAATGCACCTGCATACCCCCTGCGATCCCCTCAAGTACCCCTAGGGGTCCCTGTACCAGTGGTTGGGAACCACTGTTGTACGCTACACTGCATATACAGCTGTAACACTGACCTGTGAGCGCAGTTCATCATGCTCCTTTTGTCTTTCATCCAGCTGTCGCATCAGACAGTCAACTTGCATAGCAATCTCGTCAAAGTCCTTTTCCTCACATTGGGCAGTACTGGGTTTGGTGGCTTCCAGTGAAACCTTTTCCTTAATAAGTTCTTCCACTTTCTGTTTGGCCTTCTCAAACAGACCTTTGTAGTCCTTCACCTCAGATTCCTCCGTCTGGCTGGCCTGGTTGGAGCTCTCCTTCATCACACTGCTCAGCTCCTGCAGTCTGCTCTGCGTGTCGTGCAGTTGGCAGGTAAGACTGTGCACCTGCTCTTTAAAGGAGTCTCTCTCCTGAGCGATTTCCTGCATGAGCTCTAGAAGCTGGTCCTGCTGTCCCTGTACCTCAATCACACTGGGGTGGGGATGTGGAGAGTCTTTTTGAGCCCAGGAAGGTCCAGCTTCTTCCTCACTATCTTCATGATGTGTCACTCCATTCTGCAAGGTGAGCTCTCCTTGATTCTCACAATGAGCATCTCCACTGCTCGCTTCCTTCCTTACACTTTGCTCCACACTGCAGACACCTGAAGGCTTTGTTATATTAGATGTACTCAGCCCCACTCTCTCAGTTGGAATTTGGTCCTCCTCTTCCTTCTTTACTTTGGGTACATCTGTTTGGGTGGTGCTGGTGGACACCCCTGTGGGGGGTGCTGTGGAGGTACTGGTTCCCACAGCTGCAGACGCTGAGGAGCTCGTTCCCGCAGCATTTATGTCTGGGCCGTTATCCAAAGCAGCATCATCGCTGCACTCCATCAGCATGCCCATGTCAGCATCACTTTGCTCCACCTCGGTCTTCACTTTAGTCAAGTCTACGGACAGATTTGTTGGCTTGGGGGTACTGACCGTCTCCAAGATGCATATATCATCATCAGTATCCTCATCATTTTCATTGAGAACTGATGGGTCTAATTTGCCCTGATGGAAGCCATTCTGTCTCAGCCTTTTGGAGGTTATTTGTGGAGAAGCCGGCTGGGTTCTTTTCCCCCTGCTGTGCACACAAAGCACAATTAGAATGCTTCTTGAACAAAGTCACATGGATACATTTATGCTTGTAAACAGCAGATAAAAACTACCTCTGGGGGAGATTTGCCAGTGAGAAAACACCGGATATATATGGAAGATCACTGCTACTTGAAGGGCTGCAAGCTAGAGAGAAATAAAACAGATATTTTTTAATCTCTAAAACGTTTTCTCTCTCTCTTTCACACACATAACACCGAACGCAGACACACATACCAGCTTGTGAAAGGGGGGAGGACATCAGTGGAATGGAGAGAGCTCTCGCAGCCCCCCCTTGGGGCAACATGTTGTTAAACCTACTCTTTGGGGTAGTATGTGTGGAGGGGGAAGCAACAGCCTGTCAACAAGAACAACACAAAGAAAAAAAGTAGACAGTTAAACACAAACGGCTTCTTCAGTAAAATTACATCACAGTTAGTCGTCTCTCCCAACCTGTATTTGGGCCTTTTTCTGCTTGGCGAGATCAGCCAAATGCGCCTCCTCAGCCTAGAAAAATAAATCTATATTTTAGTGCTATTAGAGAAATCTGTACTTTTAAATAATTAGAAACAAATACTATCATTAAAATAACTTGTTATACCCAGGGGTGCACATAACTTGTTTGCCCTGGTTCTCAAAGGAGCACCTGGAGATGTTGCTTGGGGCTCATCCTTAAAATGAAATAAACCGTAACTTTTGAGGGGGTCTTGACTTTATTTGCCAGACACACGGCACTGAACACACATGCAGAGGTGAACACAGAACACACATGCAGAGGTGAACACAGAACACACATGCAGAGGTGAACACAAGACAACATTAGCAGGACCAGTAATCCTACAAGCTGTCATCACTACCCTCCTGACTGTTCTCCTCACTGTCTTCCTCTCTGTCAGACATGGTAGCTGATGATGTAGGCCTACTTCTTTCTCTCTGGTTGAGTCTGCGATTAGCTGCTTGCATCCACAAGTCAACAGCTGGTTTTAGGTCGAAAGTCTCTGTTGTGATCATCTTAGACAAGTGGATGTAATCAAATAAGTATGTGAACATAACCAATAACCTACCATAGCCAATAAGAAATGAATGTAACTTATTTTATTTGTGTTGTTCATTCATATCTTATTTTACCGTAACATTTATTTATTTATGCATTTTTTTTATCTCTCCAGTTTTATAGGATATGTTTGGTTACTGTCCTATAGTATACATTGGAATGATTTCAAACCTGTTTATCCCAATAATTATAAAGGAGTGCCTTGGAAATATGTGTTTACATAAATTGTGACCAAACTGTTTGAACTTAGACTAAAGTGAACTATCTAAACACTCAAGAGTCCTTTACCTCACTGAGCTGTAGTTATCAGCCTCTCAGTCTGACTGGAGAGGACTCTCCCTCCACATTATTGTAGAAACATCTTCTTCTTACATCCGTTAGAGCAGCTAGCACCAGATTCTAATAACAACAGCGCCGGTACCGGACGGTGCGCCCTTCTCTCTCTCCCTCGCTCACTCGCATTTTGGCTGTGAGCTGCGGGTGCCAGATAAGCCAACGTACAGGGCAAATGAAACGTGTAACCGGGGTGAAAAGGGTGTTACATTTACTTTATTATGAATATTGTTACATCAAGGCCGAAAATTAGGATTAGCACCAATGGTCAAAAAAAAAAAGTTCCCTCCCAGAACTGCCAGCGCAGCGCCTCCACAGATCTGGCGCCCTAGGCGAACATCTATAACGTCAGTGCTACGTGCCGACCCTGAGTTCATATGCAACTCGCAAATATCTTTCTCTCTCTCTCTCCTCTCTCTCTCTCAATGTTGGTACGCAAATGCGCCTTTTTTCAAATGACCCGGTGCTCTTTTTTTAGCGGAGGTGTGCATGCGCACCTGCGCACCAGTTATGTGCAGCCCTGGTTATACCCAACTTGTTACCATGTGGAAGAAACAGGTAAATTACAGAATAGGGTGCGTCCTTACCTTTTGCTCTTGAATCCTCATGTCTTCCCTTTCTCTGTAGATATTACACAAGCACAAGTTAGGCAAGGCAAGTCACTTCCTTTATTATGCTTAAATAATGTATTAAAGAAGATTTTTGCAGATTAATACAAAAATATATGATCAGAAAGTCGGCCAGTCGATTACAGATGAGGATAAAGATACGAACCTCAGAAACATTTAGGGTGTGATTGATTTCACAATATATGCAATTCATTTTGAGTCCGAGCACTAAATGACCTTTTTGGGCAGTGTCAAAAATGAACATAGGGACTCACTTTAGTTTATACGTCTTGCGGTATGAAGGTTGCAGATCGTCATCTGAGTCCACATGCTCCTGTTCTGCCTGGCAGCTCCTGGGAGAGAAAATGAAGATGCTTCTCATTTCAAATCAAAGAACAATGTGGCAAAAGTTGGAGTAGTATTTCTGTGGACGACTGAGATTCATGTTAAATAGAAAAGACAACTTAAACTTAATTAATGTGCATTTAAAAAAAGCGGAATAGTTTTGGCGAAAACTAAAAAGGTACCATGGGGTACAGGAATTCGTTTTGGTTTCAAGACCCTGGTTCACGGAGGATACCAAAAAAGTCCTAGAAAGTCAAGGTAAACTTAACTATGTGCATTTAAAAAAGAGGAATAGTTTCGGTAAAAACTAAAAGGTACCATGGGGTCAGATTAGAATTTTCCAAAGGGGGGTTCGTTTAGCATGAAACACTTGAAATAACTAAAGGACAAGTTAAACAAGAAAGAGGAAAGAAAGGGAGGTCATCGAAAACTATTTCTGCTAAAAAGTTAGCAATGATTGAGAGTCAGACCTAAACATTTCAGATGTGTGTATCTCACACTGCACTGTAACTTTAATTCATGTATCTTTGCTTTTAAATGAGTGTTTTTAAATGTCATTTCATAATATTTTTCTTAATGCTCTTAATGTCTTTCATTTTTGTAAAGCACTTTGAATTGCCTTGTGTTGAAATGTGCTATATAAATAAACTTGCCTTGCCTTAAATGATGTTTTGACCTATAACCACGCCCTGTAGAGGTTATTAACTATCATAAATCTACTCAGCCATTTCACATTTGACTCCTAACCCAACTGTCTTGATTAGGCACCGCTCAGTAGTCATTACAGCTATAAACAGACAGTCAATCTGCACCTGGAGATACATTTGGAGTCAATAGTATGATTATTGTGATTGAATCATTTGAAAAACATCTGTTTATGTTTAGAAGTTTGTTAGTGGCTCTAGTATCTGATGTATCCACAGGCGTGTGTGTAGATCTAGACATACTTATATGGAGTATAACTTGGCATTTAAAAAAAAAGGAGATGTGGATAGAAATTAGGGCTGAAGGGTTAATCGATTTGAAATCGAAATCGCAATTTGAAATGATGCGATTATCAAATCGCAAAGCCTGCGATTTTTATTAACAATTTTTTTATTGTGTGTCAATCATCCACAACAATCAGAAGTGCTGTGCTCCACATGTACCAGCCATTGTTAATCAATCAGAAGTAGTCCATGATAGAAGGTGATAGACAGATTGATCCAATCACCTGCCAAGTGCTTTTGAAAGTGCCTGCCCTTTCCAAATGGCTTCCAATGGAGCTTTCCTAGATGGTTTGGTGAAACAAACCATCTGATGCCCCGGCCACACGAGGACGAAAACGGCTAAACGCATAGGATTAACGCAAACGCAATCGCAAAAAAGCTTCCGTCCACACGCAATAGTCATCCGGATAGTGTCTGTCCACACGAGACAGCTCCGTTTAGCTCCAACCGCTGGAGAAGCTGCAGTACATATGCAGGAGCCTGTACATGGCGCTGTAACTTCCTCCACAAAAGCAGCGAAGAAGCATGGTTGTCATGGTTGCCCTTCTGTTTATTCTCCGCGGTGGGGGCCGAGGGAACCCGGCAGAGTTTTTCGCCAGTCAACGTGTATTAAAGTTTAAATCTTCCGGACAAAATTATAAAAGTGCCGGTCAAAGGTCTTCTTTGTTATTTATTGAGCTTTAAAACAAATGAATAACGAATCTATGTAATAATAAAATACACGGAGCCTCTCTTTTTCCTCCCTCTCTTCGGACAGCGTCAGTGTCTGTTTCATGCAGCAGCTGATCCAGTAATGAGTGACCCGGCCGACAGTAAAAATAAACATATTTATAACTAGTTTAGGTAGTTTGAGAGGTGTCTCCGTCCTGTCAGATTAGACTTCACTCGCGTTTATGTCCATATAAGAAAGATAAATAATCTGAATTCAGTGTGCAGTTTACTTTGACGCGGGGGTGAGCAGCAGAGGTGGGGAGAGGCGGGGCTATTGCCTCATCATTATCAGAAAATGATCGTATAGGGCGTACACACGGAGCCGTTGGACCCCCCAGAGCGTTGCGTATGCCGTTCAATCCACCTTGGGACCCGTTATCGTTTCCGCAGTCGTTTAGTGCCGTATTCGGTCGTCCTCGTGTGGCCGAACGGTCTATATGACACTAAACAGTAACGCAAACGACCGTTTTTGTCCTTGTGTGGCCGGGGCATAAGTCAGGTTAGTAATGCTCCATCACATGTTTCTATTACAGGTTGAATCTTAAACTGAAGCTTGACTTTAAAGCAACCCAACGGAAGTTTCATGTAAGTTTGGTTCTTTCACTCGTACAGATGTAGCACCTCATTTCAGACTCCAACTTACAGCTTCCTGCCTAAGACCAGTATCGAGGAATGTTAAGCCCGCCCACTATTTTCCAAGAGGGCGTTGCCAGATTTTCAATTTCAGGTTTTAACCGCGCTTCATTCACAAATACAGAAAGACAAGTTTCATGGACTTTCAGTTGTGTTTTGAAGAACATTTGAACACGTCAATATTTTAGATCAACTAAACTATATCCAATCTTGTAATTCAATAATATATAGTCTTCATATATTAAATAATCATAATAATAATGTAAATGTTTACATTACACTTCTTTATTTGTTATGCTCATACTTTTACCTTTACAATCGTTTGCTTTAATATGCAGTATATTTTTTGTATATTTTTGTGTTTGCTTCCTCCTGCTCCCTTTCGGACACATACTGTATGATTTATTATTATTATGAAGATATTATTAAGATAAGATAAGATGTTACTTTATTGATTGAACATTTTAGTTTAGAATGTGCTGTCCCATGGTAATTCAGAAGGCTCACAGGTCACATTCCGACCATTATTTAAAACAATAGGTGCTTTCACACCGTCTACAGTTTGATTTGTATAGACAGAGGGAGCTCTGTGACTGAATGGCCAGCGATTAGGTGTGGCGCATTTATCATAGGTGATCAGAGCTAACTGCCTGCCGTCAGATTTCATTTAAAAAACAGATCTGATTTTAAGACTATTTCTGCGCTCATAAAGAATGATAAGAATAAGAATAATGCGTATTGAACTGGTTTCATTAATTAGTGAGTTTATTTAACAGTATAACCGCCAATCGGGTCAATTTGTGTGATGTGTGTTGTGTGTGTGCAATGTAACTTTTTTTCAATAAAATATTAAAGTCTCCCAGTCCGTGACTTTTCCTGAAAGTGTGTTATGTAGCACCCTATGTTGTTAAAAATGGCATTCTAATAGCGGGATTTGACAGTTTTAGGTAGAACCACTGGCGGTTCTAGTGTTAAGGTAATTAGGTAGGCTACAGTAGAAGCCCTTTTTTATCAGTAACGAATTTAGCAGTTGAACATAAAAGTCAACTAACTGAGGGTCACTTGCAATGACAGTGTTGTGTCTAACTGTAAACTTGTCACTCAGAGTAACCTACAGTTAATTTAGCTGCTGGAGAAGAAAGATCGGGGGGGGGAGGGGGGGAGAGAGCTGTGGTTGATGGGCCATTAGTTGTGTAAATACACAGCTGAGAGCTGCCGTTTCATTCAGACTGTTTAAAAACGGTAACAACGGACTATTTTTCATAGCGGATGCATGTCAATTTAAATCAATACATACAACTATTTTTTAAATCAATAAAAACATTTTCTAAATCCATAAAAGCATTTCAATTAATATTGGGAGTCATGTCGTTACTTTGTTGAGAATGTGGCCATGTAATAGCGGGATAATTTGCAGCGACTTGTTCCTTATGGGGAAAATAACACCCATCTGCCGACGAGGCTCCATTAAAATATAAATATTTTTAGTGAATTACTGAGTTTAGGCACGTTAATAACGTTTTAATGAAGTTGAATACAGTATATTCATATTTGTCAGTGATTTCATGTCAATTCGGCGAACATAAACATAAATGATCGTGGTGAAGATGATGATTAAATTAGGATTAAAAATCGAGAGCCGAGCTGCATTTCCTCCCGTTCGTTTTTTTCGACTAAACAACATTATTTTGTTAAATAACAACATGTCTCTTATTTAGCACAGAGTATGATATCCGTGACATATGGATCTTAACAAAGTTCCGCAGTACATCCAGGTACTGTATCTGACTTTATTTCACATGAGCTCCAGTGTGGAACCCCACTGCACCCCCTGGTGGATCAATGATCCATTGCAGCTGGCTTCATTATAATTACATTTATTTATCACGGGGGAGGTCTCAAGTCAAGCTGGAGGTTTTCCCTTGAGCGAGGGCAGATCACGTACCAATCACGGCCCTCGCGTTTCAAACTGTCTGAAATGAAGCGCTACATCTGTAGCTCGGGCTGCGGGGGTGCTAGAGACGGGAGCACGTTGATACGACCTTCCTAGCCGGAGTTATGGCCGCATTTTACAATAAACTTCCGTTGGGTAGCTTAAAAACAAATATCGCAATTCGCAATATCTGTCAGGAAAATCGCAATTAGATTTTTTCCCAAAATCGTGCAGCCCTAATAGAAATGTATATTAGTTTATTCATCACAGAAGCTTATTATCATTGCAAGTGGGTTTTAGAGAATGCTTTAGTTACCTGAACTGCGGATCCGGGTTCAAATGGCAGGACCATTTATCTGGCAGCTTGTCGGTGTCGATCCCATCAGGGAGTTTGCGCCAGTGCAAACACTCATCACACATCACCCAGTTTTGATCCGGTCGCTTCCTAAGGACAAAGAAAGAGACAAGTATCAGAGCATGCAGGAAGCAAACATTGCTAGACAAATATGTAGAAATATAGATCACACGATGATAGTCCCTGCAAAATGTACTAACGTGGTATCTTCCATGGGTATGGTGTTGTTTGGATTCTCTTGTTTTTTCTTGTAGTTTATTTCATTCCAGTACTCCTCCAGTTTGGTCCCCAAGCTGTTCATTGTTTTCCTATAAAAAGAAATGAATACTTCAGATTTCTGTATTCCTGGGCCTTAATCATACCGATATAATCAAAACAGAATTGATAGCATTACCTGTACTTATCTGTCTCATCAAAGCTCTGTTTGTTGTGGGTAGGTTCCAGAAAGAAACACTCTATGATCCCAATGACCCCAACACCTTTGTTGTTGGCCTGCAGAAGGCAACGGTTCAGAAACATGAATACCAGATGATGACATTTAGAAACCCTTGAAAATGTGTAATATACAAACACGCTCCACAAAACAACACCAACTCACCTTGAGCTGGCAGCCTACACGTTCATAGGCTTTGATGAGCCGATTCTTGTGATACAGCATAATGCCATACTGGTCTTTACTTCTGGTGTTATAGCCAAAAGTGATGGGAATGCGTTTGGGCTAAAATAAAATGTAAGGGAAACTCAAGAAACACGTGACAAGACAAAGACAAGACAACAATTTCCCAAATCATACACAATTATCTATTCTCTGTGAAGAAAGGATACCAGGAAAGCGGGCTTGTAGTGGTCCTTTCTGACGAAGGCCAGTGTCTTAGCAATGAGCTGAGATTTCACCTTTTGACCCCGTACGATGATCTGCATCCGAGGCTTCAAGTAGAGAATACTGCAATATGCCTGCGGACAGTAGAAACACAATTATAACCTCATACAAATGAAGAGATATCAAAACTAAGTATCAGGTTTTAAGGAAATCAACTTTTCTCTTGGACACAACACAGATTACCTACAATTAAATGGATTCAATTTGCCTACTCATCGTAAGATTTAAAAAAGAAAAATAATATGTTTTATAAACCTAAATTAAAGATAGGGTAGGTAAGAATGGAGAAACCAGCTCGAGTGCGCTAGAATTTCAAAGTACACAACCGAAAAAGATCTGCCCCTTCCTTCAGACTTCCTTACAGAGCCCTTCCTCCAACACACACGAACGCGCACATGACCAATGAGGGCACGAGATAAGTTTGTGCACAGATGGAAGGCTGACAGGCAGGTAGGCCATCCAGTTATTTTAGCCGGGCCGGCTCAGATGATTGGTCTTGCTTTTTACAGCGCCACGGCTTCCACAGATGAAATATTTGTTTGTAAAAAAACGACCTGCCATAATGCAAGGAATTGTATTATGCTGTTATAGCATACTGATTTCTATTCATCCAATGTTTTTTGACTAATACCGGCACAGTTAACATAACGTATCTGAATATATACACATGTTGGTTATACATTACTCAAATAAACAAGTAGTCCTTGATCAAGTAGTTATACAGCTTTAATTTGAAGGGGTTCATTGATTGTAAGGAAAAAACATGCAACAATGATTCTAATGGGGGAGGCAGGGCCTGGGGGCAGGGCTGATTTGGGGTGACACATCGCAGGAGGGCCATAAATCTTGCTTTAGATTACAATTACAACACTTAGATGTTAAATGAGTCATCCTGGAATTTCCCAGTCGTAATTTGCATTTGTGTATTGGCATTTTGTCTGTCTCCTCCCATTTGGTTAACACACAAAACATTGTGTTGTCCCTGTCCTTGGGATGCAAATGGGAAGGCAGACAAAGCTCCTTGTGTGTCGTCCCTTACTCCCTGGCAGTATGAATCCTAAACACAATCCTCTGTGTTGACTCTGAAGCTAAGATAAGAATCCTTCTTCAAACTGGATCTCAGTAAAAACATTTAAACAGAAAAAACTCTTCCAGTTTTCTTTCACAACTCCCAACCCACTAAAAAATACATTCTCACTATTTGTAAACTGGAAGATTTGCGTTTTTTGACAAAACATTTGTACGTATAAGTTGCATAATGTACCCTAATTGGCTTCAGATTTCATGCTTGTATACGTATCACTATAAAATGTGTGACTGTGGGCCACATGCACAAAACAGCTACTTACCCGAAGTGAGGAAACACTCTCAGGGATGTTTGACTTGGTCGCTTGATTTGGACCTGGTTTTGGAGCAGCGTCCTTCATTGTCTCGTCGAATTCAGATGGTATTCGGATATCGTAGCGGTCCCTCTCAAAATCAAATTCTGATGGTTTACTAGATGTACTGTTAAAAATATAAAAGAAATACATGGGCGATCAGTCTTTATCATAATCTTTGAGTTATTGGGCCTCCCTAATACTAACAACTGACATCAAACAGCAAATCACATGCAGAACTATAGCGTTATTCATTGTTGCTAGGTAACAACCCTGCTGCTGTTTGTTGGGAACAGATTTAAAGCCAAAGTGGACACATGGTTGTGAAAACACATTTTAATACAAACATCTAGGTTTGACTTTTTATTACCTCATAGATCATGTTTAAATTAATGATGACTAGATTAGAATAGTTGATATAGTCTGATCAGGCATGTACAGGAGCTACTAGCCCTTGGTTTCTGAAATAAAACATAAAGGTTTGTGTGTGTGAAGAACCCACAGACCTGCGGAGATTCCAGATGATGATCCGTGTGCCGGTTTTGGAACTGATGCCGTCGATCTCAGCCTGAATTTCTTCCTCTTTGTTGAATGGGGAATAGCGCAGGATGTCCTGAAGACTGGCCTTGTGTTCTTCTCTTACACGGAGTATAGTCCAAGTTAAGGAAAACGTCGTAAATGAGGACAATTGAACATTCGTATATGGTGTACGATGACATTTGTATGTTAAGCAAACTCTTTGGGGTCTCATAATATTTTTCTACAACTCTTGTCTGAAGGATTGGAATGCTGTGTAACATTTTGAGCATACGGCTGTCAAAATGTCATAACGCTATTTAGTGTTTAGGATCTATCTGTTCTTGTTATTTTTCGGTTACATTTGATCTAGCACCCATTCCATCAGATGCTGGGATTTGCGTTTCATTTTCATCATTTACATATAGTTTACATGAAGCAATATGCCTTAACGCAGCAGGTAAAGGATATACTTGTTTTTTTCTTTCCGTTCAAAGCATACAATAGGAACAATTATTTGGTTAGCACCAATCTCTTCCAGGTAGGTTTGAGAGAGCATCCCAACGCAGGACACACTCTTTGACTTCGAAAACACGATGGCGTCTTTGCCGAGGCGCATGGATCCAGACTTGAAACCGTTGCCGTACATACCAATGGGCTTTACTCCCTTTATAGGAATCTTGTCACTGTAGCCAAAGCTTAAAGGGGGGAAATGCATAAAATCCTTTAGTGAGTATATGAATAACAGCATGGTTTATACATAAATGTATCATGTACAACATTCGTTTGGTGAGCCATTTCTAATTACCTGAGCATCTTGTGTATTTTATCTTTGTCCAGTCCATATCCATTATCCATAAAGCTAAGGCAGTCCTGCTTTTTGACCACAATCTTATCAATCCAGAACTGTTTGGCATTGACATCTGGATCATAGGCATTGTCTGTCGAGAGAAAGTTTGTTTAGGGGTGTAACAGAAAACAATTATACCCACTTACTTACTTTAATACTATCATTGTGTGATTCTTATTTGCTAATGTTTATCTTTATTTACTGGCTTTCACTTCTTTGCTAAGCTTGGGAAAAGTCATTCATAAGAAGATGTGTTGCAATGTTGCTAGTTACACTCCATGTGCACCAATAGTATGAATTGCAGCTTCTGTTGAACTGAAAACATTCCTGATACTGCCTCCCTAACTCATTATCGCCACCCTTGACCCCTCCCTTTCTCCTCTCTCTGTGTTTAAATATGCAACCCAAACTGTGATGGAAACTTCTGTGCAGCAATGCAGAGCCAAGGCTCAGGAAAGGATGGAAGCTGGAGCGGCTTTAGTCAAACACTGATATTTATTGAGAGTAGAATACGGCCGGAGAGATCACAAAGTATATCACACTTTCATGTGAGCCACCTAGCAACACTCTGAAGAGCACTGACCTGCCAGTGGGCAACTAGTTTTTGACAAGAAAGCTACTGGAGACTTCTAGAATTGTGTGAGTAACACTGTGTTTGTAGACTTCTCTGTTTCAGTGTGTGTACTCTGTATCAATGCTCTGTAGTTGATCTGACTGGAATTGTGTTTTTAAAAAACTCAAAACCGCTACAGCATCTGTCAGACAGAAACTTGGGAAAAGTCATTTGACTGAAACCATAAAAGTGAACTAACTGACTACTAGGGTTAACTTTGATTTAAACATTTGTAGAATACTAAGAGCTTTATTGAGTAGGTGTAACTGTATTAAGGGTTAAACTCATAACTTTATAACTTAGGGTTTAATGTAATTGACTTAAAAGACAATAAGAAATCAGGACGAAGCCAGTCTAGATTTCCTTTTGAGGGCCACCAGCTGCAGAGTTAACTAATTAAAAGGACGTTTCCCCACAGCTGTGAGAACTCAGCAATCAGGTGTCCATTTTAGGTAGCACTTTCCTGGAGCGTCAGCTTCAGCGTCAGACAGGCTAAGACTGGCAAAGACATTAGAGTCCTGTGGGAGTCAAAGACTGGCAAAGACATTAGAGTCCTGTGGGAGTCAAAGACTGGCAAAGACATTAGAGTCCTGTGGGAGTCACGAGGGAGGCAAAGAGGAGGCAAATCCTACTTTGATTGAGCTAAGTATCGCTGGGGTTTTTTCTTTTGTTTCATTTTATTTGGTTGTTTAGCCCCTCATGCTATAATCATGTGTATTTTCTCCATTCCTGTTCATGTGTCTTCTCGCAATTATCACTGGCCCCGTGTATCTCGTAATCGATATAACCGGCCTGCTCTCGTCTATCCCACATGCTCCACTGAGATCCAACATCTAGTTTCAGGCGGCCTGTGGAACTGCCAGTCAGCTGTTCCTAAGGCTGACTTCATCTCTGGCTACGCCTCCCTGCAGTCTCTGGATTTCCTTGCTCTCACTGAGACGTGGATTACTCCATCCAACACATCCACCCCAGCAGCTCTCTCCACTGCATATTCCTTCTCCCATACACCCAGACCCACTGGCAGAGGAGGTGGCACTGGTCTCCTGCTCTCTCCCAAATGGAGCTTTTCTCTCTTCAAGCTACCTAACTTTACTCCTTCCACCTTTGAATTCCATGCCGTCACAGTAACCCATCCTATACAGTTAACCATTGTTGTTCTCTACCGTCCACCAGGCGCCTTGGGGGACTTCTTGGAGGAATTAGATAATCTCCTCTCACACATCCCTGAAACTGGCCCTCCCGCTGTACTTCTCGGAGACTTCAACCTCCAGACGGGGAAGATAGACGAACTAACATCTCTGTTAACCTCCTTTGCTTTCTCACTGTCTCCGTCCCCACCGACTCATAAAGCTGGCAATGTCCTTGATCTCATATTCTCAAGGAACTGCGCTACTTCTAACCTCTCTGTAAACCCGCTCCACACATCCGATCACTTCTTCATTTCATTCTCTCTATCTAGGCCGCAAGGTGAACCTCGAAAAGTCCTTTAGAAAAGAAATCCCGCTCCACAGAAGTGAAACTACACAATCTTTAGTTCATAAAAAAGAACGATTCATGCTTATCCACCAAAAAAAATTTCGTCGCTAAAATTCCTGCCAATTCTTCTAGGCACGTAATTATTGGCTGAACTATTCCCTTCGAAGCGTAATAATATCTTGGTCCAAAGTCGTGCCACGGTTCATCACGTGATCGTGCTACACCAATTGGGTAGCTGCATATTGTCAACAGAAGTGAAAGATGGCGGCCGCCATGGTTTCATCGAGTAGCGGAGACGAGGAAAACGCACCAGAAAGTCTCAAAAAGTCAAAATTGTCAACACACAAACATTGTTACATGCATATTACGTCTGTGAAGCACGAAAAGGTTGATTGTTTTACCAATACAAGATGGAATACGTACAGGACAAGCTTACAACGGTCGCTCGGCTTGAAGGGAGACTCTCGGAACGTGGTGGCTGAAAACCACAAGCACTGTCTTGATTTCGAGTTCGAAGATATTCCTGAGGACGCTGGCTTCCACCACACATGCTACATAAGGTTTACCGACACAAAGGCCATGACGAAGGTGGAAAGACGGCTCGCACGTGAGGGAGATCAAGACGTTAGGGAGGACCTTGAGGTCGAGCCCATCCCATCGACGTCTCGCAGCACGTACCGAAGCCAAACAGAGAAGCTACGATCAAGGTCAGGCCTGCCAATCGCAGGCTCTGGCCCCGTCCTTCCTGCCCTGTGCATTATATGCAAGATGAAGGAGAAAATGATCATCAAAGCAGGCAAGCGACAAAGGGATCAACTGTGTAAGGCTGAAACATTAAAAGCAGGTAAGCAAACCCCCTCCCCCACCCACACACCACACACACACTACACACACCACACACACACATTCTCTGTGGTTGAATAACTGAAAGGTACAATTATGTGTGAGAGATACGTCAACAAACTCATTGAGTTGTCCTTTTTTTCCGTTTAGGCAAATTGCAGAAAGCTGCTGAGAAGAAAGATGACCAAAGTGTTCTTTTACATATAAAAGACAAAGACTGTGTGGCTCTGGAGGTGCGGTACCACAAAAGCTGTTACAGTCAGTACACCATGTTTTTGCTGAGACCTGACAAACCAGAGACAGAACAGTAAGTTATTTCTCCTTGGATTGCTTTACCTATTTGCACTACCACCAGACTGAAGTCCAGGTGTGTGTCGGCGATGGCTATATATATATATATACACATACACATACTTAACATTATAAGTAAACATCCAATTTCCTTCTGTTATATGTGCACACAATCACAACACTTATTCATTTATCCATTTATTTACTTCTCATTCATGTGTTGTAGGGATGAGGCAATGTTTGATGCCAGTTACAAGCTGTTCTGTGAGAGGATCATCCGCCAGAGGCTGCTTGTCAACAATGAGGTGCTTAGAATGGGCCAGCTGAGGCAGGCCTTCATTGACATGGTGAAAGCAAACGAAGGTGTTGATGCTTCAAACTACAGCTAACTGCAATGTAATACAAGTCTTATTATTTATCATGTGCAAGGCCAGCTTTAAACAAAATGTGTATGACAGGCCTATTTGGAGAAACCCCCATGATGTGTAGTGTGTAGTGTTGTTTGTGATGATGTGGGCCTTTATTTGGCTTCTTTGGTGTTAAATGTGCTGTATGGCAGATAGGTTCTAGTCTGTAATGTCTTGTATCACCTCCACCACTCTGCTTTTGATGGTACTCCTGTGACTCGTAATTGTCACTGTTTTGTTGTGTTACAGACAGGATCTGTTGAAGAAGAGGCTGGCTCAAGATTTCCCTCAGCTAGCGTTTCACATGCCCACCAAGCGCAACGTCTGCGAACTGGTTTTTGCTGAGACTCTGTCAAAGGATGCACTCGTGGACATGCTACCAGATCCATCCGGTACGGAAACAACACAGTCCAGTGAATTGAGCCAGACAGACAGCGACAATGAAACAGGGAGAACAAAGTGCCAAACAACACATGAGGACACAAGGACACTGTATACAGCAGCGTTGTTTTTGAAAAGACTGCTTAGTGACACTCCTGGCATGTCATGCCCATGGCCTCCCACTTCTGAAAATGTAAATGTCACTGAATCTCAAACTGTTGTCCCCATTGGACTATACAATCTGCTCAGCTGGATTATAGGTTCCACTGAGGAGCCAACACTGGATCATTGTGTCAACATTGATGATGACGTACATTTGAAAGTGTTGTCTGTTTGTCAAGACATTGTGTACCTTGCTTCCAAGGGCCGCAAGCAGACACCCAAGTCCTTGGCTTTAGGTTTAACTGTTCGACATTTAACTGGATCATCACGCATTGTATCACTGCTTAACAGACTGGGACATTGTGCATCATGGGACACAGTTTTGAGTCTAGACACTAGCCTTGCCCAACTGACACTAGTAGAAGGCAGAGACAAAATACCGAAGGGATTCTCAAAGCGGACACCCACAACACTTGTGTGGGATAACATTGACTTTGGTGAGGAGACACTATCGGGTCGTGGAACTACTCACCATACAAATGGAATTATGCTCCAGAGTGTGCCCGGCGAGCCTATGTCCACAGCAATCAGACAGCCACTGAGAAAGGGAGTTACCTCATTCATAGCCCCCCCCCCAATGCCTATACAACCTTACCATCAGTCCAAAAGGCAAGGGCCACAGAACTTGTGTCAACCAGTGCAGTCAGCGACATGCAGAATGGACACCCACTTTGCTGTACAAGCTGAAATGGCATATGCTTTTGTGAAGTCCACATGTACGGATAGTTGTACAATCCCAAGCTGGACAGGGTTCCATACACTGCTTCAGGATGAAAACACTCTGCAGAAGTCCGCATTGTATTATCTTCCAGTCATTGAAGCCTCACCAACAGAGATGTCAACAGTCAACACTATCCTGAAGCGAAGTGTCCAGATTGCTGACCAGCTAGAACTGGATCATATAGTTTTAGTGTTTGACCAGGCTATATATGCCAAAGCACAGCAAATACGCTGGAAGGATGTTGAGTTTACAAAGCGTCTAGTGATTAGACTAGGTGAATTCCATACATGTATGTCCTACCTGAGTATTCTAGGCAAAAGGTTCGGAGATGCAGGACTGCAAGATATCCTCATTGAATCTGAAGTTGTTGCCCCAGGATCCATCAATGGGGTACTCAATGGCCATCACTACAATCGCAGCATGAGGGCTCATAAACTTCTATATGAGAGTCTGCAGCGCATCCGGTTTATCACCTTCATGGACTCCTTGCCACCCCAAGAGAGAGCTGCGTGCATGGATGTCATCACTGAGATGGAATGTGCCTTTCCAGACAGATTGATGGATGTTTTGAGTGCAGATCAGAGGTTTGATAATATGTGCTCGAAATATGCAGACTTTGTGCAGAGGAGGAGTACAGAGAATGCAACATTTGCTTTCTGGAGCTCATACATTGACATGATGCAGCTACTCCTCCTGTTTGTGAGAGCAACGCGAGAATCAAACTGGCAGCTTCACCTGTCAACCGTCCGGTTAATGATGCCATGGTTTTTTGCCTACG